TGAAATTTTGCAATAATCTTGCGCCACCCTTGCACAAAACGACGATCATTTTTCTAATTTCATAGATAACAAAAGACTGTATTTTTTCTACATAATCCGCCCCTGCTTTGTGGCCTTGTTGGGGTGGAACAACGTGCGCCTCTCTTGTATGTGTGGGTGTAAAATTTCCTTATTCGGCAACGCGTAGCGAATATAAATGATGTGTGGAGCGGATAAAATAAATTAGTGTGGCAGCCCAAACAGGCCATTAAAATATCTCGGGCTGGATGCGAGATAAAACATTGGGAATTTTTATCAAAACTCTTATTTCATCCACAGCGGTCAGATTGTGGGCAATTTTGCTGCAGGAAAATTAGAAACTCCATTTCTCACTTCAAAGCTAATTAACTTGCCCCCGAACTAGTCGAGTTTTCCCTTCAGTGGCGCCTCGTGCATAGTTTTACCGGAAAATTCCCTACTGATCCAGAAGGAAAACCCATGAATCATCCAGACAAAACAGGGTTTGAAGGGAAGCCTCCAATTAAACATTTTGTTGTTCAGCTCAAGCAAAAGTTGTAGGATTTTATAGTTGGTTCTATATGTCTTGACAGTTTCGAATTTGCAACTTCAGGGTTTTTTTGAGATTTTCGCAAAGCAAGCTAAGTTTGCAACGATGATCGATGATCGAACATTAATCCTTGTCGCATTTTTTAGAGCAATGTTGACTATGTAAACCGTGAAGGTTTCGAGTTTGTACTTTTTTCGCAGATTTTTTCAGAAATTCTAAAATGGGATTTTTTTATTTACTTTTCAAATGGCCATTTTGGTTTCAATTATGCGTTTTTTTCCAGTTTAAAAACTGTAAAATTCAAAGCAGCTAGAAAGTGGCAGATTTTCAAGGTCTACAAATTTCCAATCTGCCAGTTCATCCAGAAATTTTTGAGAATTTCCTGAACTCGCAGTGCAAAATCAGACAAAACAGATTTTTCCGTTGTTGCATTTTATAAAGAAAGGTCGATCCTACGAACGCTGAGA